GTTTAAATTCTTCTCCTTCGTCTTCGTCAATACGGAAAAAAACTCCATTTAAATTAACTCCCTTTCTCAGTTTTATTCCCTTTTTAAAAAACTTTATTTCCTCTGCTTCTTCACGTAATTGCTTACGTCACCTCCACCTCTTTCTTCTCATCCATTTTTATTTTAGCGCGCAAAAAAAAAAAAAGTGAAACTCTTTCACGATCCGGATCTACCCAATTAAGCTTAGTGTCAATCTCTCCGGATCAATTCCATTTTCCTCTCGTAAAGGTTGAGACTTTGGTCTTCTCCGATTGAGTCGTCTCGTAAAGGTTGTGACTTTTTTGTAGTATCTCTCTCGATCTGCTAAAGGTTGAAGCTTTTTGTCTCCATCTCCATTCTCCAAGCTGATTCTGAGCTTCTGAAGGGTTTCTGTTTAAATCCTTCTCCTTTGAGGTTTTGTTTTTTTCAATGAATTCTCAATTTGATCCCTAAAGTTTCCTCCTTTACATCATCAAATCCCTCTGGACCCACCAAAATGGATCCCCGGAACTCAACCGATCACCAAAACGACTCAATCTCCGGCGTTTCGTCTAGATGGAGCCTCTCATCCAAAGACAACTCTCTCAAAGAAGTCACTTTCGCCGACGTCGGATCAAAACGTATCCGTCACGGATCAGCAGGAGGTGATTCCGAGATGCTAAGCATGTCTCAGAAGGAGATCAAAGACGAGGACGCTCGTTTAATCTACATCAACGACGCGGACAGAACCAACGAGAGCTTTGAGTTCACTGGGAACTCGATCAAGACAGCGAAGTACTCTGTTTTCACATTCTTACCTCGGAACTTGTTTGAACAGTTCCATAGAGTTGCTTACATTTACTTTCTTGTGATAGCTGTGCTTAATCAGCTTCCACAGCTTGCTGTTTTCGGTAGAGGCGCGTCTATCATGCCACTTGCGTTTGTTTTATTGGTCTCAGCTATTAAAGATGCTTATGAGGATTTTCGGAGGCATAGGTCGGATAGAGTTGAGAATAATAGGTTGGCTTTAGTGTTTGAGGATGGTGAGTTTCGTGAGAAGCAGTGGAAGTATATTCGTGTTGGGGAGGTTATTAAAGTTGTGTCTAACCAGACACTTCCTTGTGACATGGTGCTGTTGGCTACTAGTGATCCCACTGGGGTTGTTTATGTGCAGACGACTAATTTGGATGGAGAGTCGAATTTGAAGACGAGGTATGCTAAGCAGGAGACTCTTCAGAAGGCTAATGATTTGGAGACGTTTAATGGGTTTATTAAGTGTGAGAAACCGAATAGGAATATATATGGGTTTCAAGCGAATATGGAGATTGATGGGAGAAGGTTATCACTTGGACCTTCTAATATTATTCTTAGAGGATGTGAGCTTAAGAACACTGAGTGGGCGTTAGGTGTTGTTGTCTATGCCGGTGGTGAGACGAAGGCTATGCTGAACAACTCTGGAGCACCGTCAAAGAGGAGTAGGCTGGAGACTCGGATGAATCTGGAGATCATTTTGCTATCTTTGTTTCTGATTGTCTTGTGTACAACCGCGGCTGCTACTGCTGCTGTGTGGTTGAGACGGCACAGGGATGATTTGGACACGATTCTCTTTTATAGGAGAAAGGATTACGCAGAGAGGCCAGGAGGGAAGAATCATAATTACTATGGTTGGGGTTGGGAGATATTTTTCACTTTCTTTATGGCAGTCATCGTGTACCAGATCATGATACCTATTTCTCTCTACATATCTATGGAGCTTGTCCGTATTGGTCAAGCGTACTTCATGACTCGAGATGATCAGATGTATGATGAGTCTTCAAATTCAAGTTTCCAATGCAGGGCTTTGAATATAAATGAAGATTTAGGGCAAATTAAGTATTTGTTCTCTGATAAGACGGGTACTCTTACTGACAACAAGATGGAGTTTCAAAGTGCCTGCATAGGTGGTGTAGATTACTCTGACAGGGAACCTGCTGAGAACGAGAATACAGGATACTCCATTGAAGGTAAAGTAACTAATTTCTTACTAAATTGTTTCTGCTGTTTAAGAGTAGAAATCTGTTAACTGACTGACACTTGTGATCATGATACAGTTGATGGAAATATTTTGAAGCCGAAGATGAGGGTTAGAGTTGATCCTAAGCTGCTTGAATTGACGAAAGATGGTTATGCAACAAAAGAAGCAAAACGTGCGAATGAGTTCTTCCTCTCACTGGCAGCTTGCAATACAATTGTGCCAATTGTTACCAACACATCTGATTCCAATGTAAAGCTGGTGGATTATCAAGGGGAGTCCCCTGATGAACAGGCGTTAGTCTATGCAGCAGCTGCATATGGTTTCCTGCTCATTGAGAGAACCTCTGGTCATATAGTTATTAATGTGCGAGGAGAAATGCAAAGGTAATTTCAACATCCGATGGCTACCGTTTGCCATTATTTTTTGTAGATGGTCTATAGCATTTATTATTTTTCTCTTTGCCCAGTGCAGGTATAATGTTTTGGGATTACATGAGTTTGATAGTGACCGGAAAAGAATGTCAGTGATACTGGGATGCCCCGACAATTCAGTGAAACTCTTTGTAAAAGGTGCAGACTCATCCATGTTTAGTGTCATTGATGAATCCTACGGTGACGTCATAGAAGAGACCAAGAACCAACTTCATGCCTACTCATCTGATGGTTTGAGAACTCTTGTTGTTGGGATGAGAAAGCTGAACGATTCAGAATTTGAGCAATGGCATTCTTCGTTTGAGGCTGCAAGCACTGCCTTGATTGGTAGGGCCGGATTGCTAAGAAAGGTTGCTGGAAACATCGAGACTAACCTTAGGATAGTAGGAGCCACTGCAATCGAAGACAAGTTGCAGCGTGGTGTCCCTGAAGCAATAGAATCTCTGAGGATTGCAGGGATAAAAATATGGGTGTTGACTGGTGACAAGCAAGAAACTGCCATATCGATTGGCTTTTCATCGAGGCTTCTGACAAGAAACATGAGGCAAATTGTGATAAATAGCAACTCGTTGGATTCATGTCGGAGGAGCTTAGAAGAAGCAAACGCCAGTATTGAAAGTAATGACGAGAGTGTAGCTTTAATTATTGACGGTACCAGTCTCATATATGTACTCGACAATGATCTTGAAGATGTGGTAAGTTAAACTTTGATGAAAATCTATTGCGTCTCTGGTTATGACTGTCTTTCATTGTGGTGTAATTGCTGAGTTTTTGCAATGCAGCTCTTCCAAGTGGCATGTAAATGCTCTGCGATACTCTGCTGCCGTGTTGCTCCTTTCCAGAAAGCTGGAATCGTTGCACTTGTAAAGAACCGGACTTCCGACATGACTCTCGCCATTGGTGATGGTAATGACTCCACTCTTTCTGTTAAAGATCATTCTACCTGATCCTGTCTAAACAGCAAACCGGTTCATTGTTTTATTTCTCACCTTCCCATTTTCTTTGACAGGTGCCAATGATGTCTCCATGATCCAAATGGCTGATGTTGGGGTAGGGATCAGTGGCCAAGAAGGTCGCCAAGCTGTGATGGCATCTGATTTCGCAATGGGACAGTTCAGATTCTTAGTTCCACTATTGCTCGTCCATGGACACTGGAATTACCAAAGGATGGGCTACATGATACTATACAATTTCTATAGAAATGCAGTTTTCGTTCTAATTTTATTTTGGTGAGTACTATCTTATTACTACCTTTTTTTGTTCCAAGCCACCATGGACTAACCCTCACCAATTTCACGTAGGTACGTTTTGTTTACTTGCTACACACTGACAACCGCCATCACAGAATGGAGTAGTGTCTTGTACTCAGTCATATACACATCAGTTCCTACAATAATTATCGGTATTCTTGACAAAGACCTCGGAAGGAGGACTCTTCTCAATCACCCTCAGCTCTACGGCGTGGGCCAGAGAGGAGAGGGATATTCCACAACGCTCTTCTGGTATATGATGTTTGACACAGTCTGGCAAAGTGCAGCCATCTTCTTCATTCCTCTCTTTGCTTATTGGGGCAGTACCATTGACACGTCAAGCCTAGGAGATCTATGGACCATTGCTGCAGTTGTGGTTGTCAATCTTCACTTGGCCATGGATATAATAAGATGGAACTGGATCACGCACGCCGCTATATGGGGATCCATTGTTGCAGCTTGTATATGTGTTATTGTGATCGATGTTATACCCACACTCCCTGGTTACTGGTAAGCTTCTTTCTCTCTCTCTCTCTCTCCAAAACATTATGTTAAAGCAAACTAAGAGTTCCATGCTTTTTATTTTATTGCTGTGACAGGGCAATTTTCCAAGTGACCGGGACATGGATGTTCTGGTTCTGCTTGCTTGCCATTGTTGTGACATCATTGCTTCCTAGATTCGCTATCAAGTTTCTCGGTGAGTATTACAGACCTTCAGATGTTCGGATTGCTAGGGAGGCTGAGAAGCTTGGAACTTTCATAGAACCCCAAAGTATGGGAACTGAAATGAACAACATTCGGGATCCTCCAAGGAGATAATATCAGGAAAGACCACACTTCTCAAATCAAAATTCTTTATACCCTTCAGCGGAAGTAAATACAGATTATATATATATCATTTTTCCTTCCCTTGGTTGCTTACTGTTTCAAGAGTAGGTTTTGTTTGATTGTAGTGTAACAATGTTGTTACATAATCTCTGGCTGTAATTTCCACTTTGTTGTAACATACGCAAAAGCTTTCCTTTGTAAAGAGAAGAACATCGAAAATTTTGATTTTGTTTCCTGGTTAATCAGTTCCTAGTTCAGGGCCTTGTGAAGTTGAGTTTTAGCTACAAACTTAAATACAGAAATAAAAACAAGATACAGGTTTGTCCTAAAACCGATCCGAGTAGTATTAAGATTACATTACATATCCAACAGGAGAAAAACACCTTCCACAATCTGAGAAATAGACAAAGGTCTTATGCCTGTTGAAGAGAAAAACCAAAGGGAGTCTTTAATACCTTTGTTGCCACCAAAATAAGTCATTCAAAAGATCATCCCTGCCAGATAAAAACAAATCCAGCGGTCCCCTCTTTTAAGCATATTCACATATCTATATAGATTCAGTAGACAAATATGAAAGAGATACTAACCATTTCCATCCAAAATCATCTGCCTCCAGTTGTTTGCCATCATCAACCAAATGAACCACGGCAATAGTCTGATCCGCAAAAGCACTTCTTCTTACCATATGAAGTATTGCCATTTTGATTTCCATTTGGTCGAGTAACTCCATAGTCATATGTTAACTCAGTCATGGGAGGGATGTGTGACATAGCAAAGAAAGCGACATGCAAGAAGAGTTGACCGTTGTTTTCATAACTAACTGGCTGCCAGAAAACATTAGGGGAGCAACTGTGGTTCATGAACCGGGCAACGTTCCCAGCATTCTTAGCATTGATTATAAGAGGCAGTGGGAGTTCAGGTTCTTCAGACATCTCCTCAGAAGCATCTTCATCTGCTAAGCCAAGATCATAGTTCCATTTCAAAGGAGTATAGACACGGGTTGTATCAAAGGTATAATCATCATCAGCCATTGTTTGCTGCACCTTCGACTTGTCTTTGGCCTCACCTGCATATATACATATAAATGAACCAGCACGAATAGGATCCCATGAGCGTAAGCCCCATCCTCTATTCACTGTCTTGAAAACTTCAAGCTTCACTTTGACTCCCATTTGAGTGACCTTGTTTTTGCAAGCTGAGCATGGGCATGATGGGCTGCATTCATGTATCAGAGACTTGCGGCTAACTAGTATTCCATTACCGGAATAGGGGAAATCACCTCCATTTTTCCTTATGCAATGACAGTTCAAGTTCCCTGGCTTGCAAGAGTTGCTACAATCACACCCAATAGAAGGCTGTGTCAGCTTAAACGAATCTGAGTAGTTCACAGTTGTGGAGTAGGTGAAATAAGGAGGGCCATTCTCAGCATCAACGTCATTCACAAGTGAAACGCCTATGCTTTCAACCCCGGAAGTGAGATCAGAGAGAATGAGTCCTTCCCTTGAAGGCACACCCGCTTTCCACTTCTGTATAGCAATCCATGAAGCAAACGCAGGAGGCTGACCAGGAGCTCTCACAAGTTTATACTTGAAAGTGTTGTGTCCAGCTTTTCCTTTCTCTACCCATGACTCTTTAACCTCATAGAGCCCATCATAAATATAGATCTTAGCACTCTGAGAAGCTTCTTTTAATCCCCTTATAACCCTAACCGGACTATTCCTAAGCAGACTCTTCTCCAACGCGAGATTACCCCTTTCAAGCTTTTGGTCAGACGTTTGCTTTTCTTTATCAGTATAACCACCACCCTGACCAGTATAAACCAAAACATCAGGATTACCTTCATCATTATCATAATAACCAGACGACACAATGCTAGTGGCGATAGGCTCCTCTCCTGTTTCTCCCTTGACAAGCAGATAGTCAATACCAGCCATTGATGGAGAATGTAACCCAACCAAACACATCTCAAACCTGAAGAAGAACACGTCACCAATCTCAACACCAGGAACTACACCAGGTCGCTTCTTGGAGTTGGTCCGGACTCCTCTGCTCATACAAGTAGATCCTGCTTTTAAATCAGGGCGTTTGATAGCCCCGCTAACTGTTTCCTTAGCATCTTCCAGCTGTGAAAACCTTCTTCTCAACGCATCAAAACGCATAACAACACTCATCACCAGCTTCCTATTGCCATTCTCTTTTTCAGCCACGCTAATCCCACTGTCAAAATTCTCAGGACAAACAAGTGGAGTACGCTTTTTAGCGATCTTTCTCTTCACAGTTGAACCCTCAGGCTCCACGTCGCCATTAGAAGTAGTAGTATCAGGAGACCTGAATGTCCTCAGAGGAGTAACCAATGAAGGCTCTGAGTTGTTCTGAGCCTGATGTTGATGTGGCGTTGGATACTGAGCTTGGTTGAGATCTGGAGTGTGTTGATTAGCTGCTTGAGAAGAACTAAACGGATAGAATGGTGAGAATCCAGGAGGAAAAGGACCGAAAGGAGGTGCACAGACAAAAGGAGGAGCTTGATTCCCACTAGGGAAAACAGGTCTTAGAGTACGCAATGGTTTGATATCCAACACTCTTGTCTTATCAGTGTAGCTTCCAAAGTTTCCTTCCATAGCTGAAAGAAGTCACATTCACAAAAAAAAAAAATTGATTTTTCAATGCAAATGGAGAAAATGAGTAGAAGATCTTGGGGAAAGGCAAAGTCTTTATCAGATTAATCTAACCTAGAAACTAAATATCAGAGACCGTTAAGTACAGGCATGCACAGAGAGAAGCCATCATTCATCGCAGATTCAAAGATGTACAATAACTACAACATAGAAAGCTTATAACTTTGAAAAGAAAAAAAAAAACCTGAAAAGGACGGACTTGGAGAGAGATCGCGCGCTCTTCGAAATGGCCCGTCAGATTAGGGTTACTGAAACGAGAGAGACAGAGAAGAAACGACAGTGAAATAAACAGAGCATAAAGTTTCCAGCTTTGGTAATAAATCTGCTTAACATTTATTAGTATCATTAACATCTGTGATTTTCTACATTTGCAACAGTTAGAGAGAAGGTAAGATTGACCGTTGGATCAAAATCATCTGATCTTTAACCGTACAATGGATCTATATGACTGGGATACCTGCGTAGAAGGTTTTAGTTTCGTATTGCGTACTTTCATTCCTTCTTTTCGTGATGTAACGCCTTTTTGGAGCTTTTGTTGGTTGCCGGTTTTCACACGTGTGTAAGAGTTGTCGTTTCCTTTAGCTCAATCTTTGTCTTAACAGAGATTTTAAGGTCCAAATGATTCTATCTTAGTTTTAGATTAACCAAGCTGAACAGATTAGCCCATCTTACTGACATCTCAGGACAAAATAGATTTTGGTGAAACATGTTGATTGTACTGTTTTAGTGTGTGGTGGTGGTGTATGTACAAGAAGCTGCTTAACAAGTGACGACCTTATACAGTATTTGGCTATGTAGTTAGAAGTTCCCAGTGAAATTTCTCTGATAAAGATTGACTTCTAAGACTTTCTCATATTCATCAAATCTTTTAATCAAACACAGAAAGGCTACGAGTTCACAACTTCCCATAGATTTGTCCTAAAACAATCTGAAAAAATACTAATAAGATTACATATCCAACAGGAGAGAAACCCTGAGGATACATTTCCTAGGATCAGAGAAATAGATAAGGCTTTGATGGAGAAGAAGCAGGAAAGAATCCATCACAGCTTGCGTCTTATGCCGTTGAAGAGAAGACTTAGAAACACTTTACCTGTCACCAAAAGCAATCACTTCCACTACTCAACACTTGGCCTACCAATCCAGAAATCATGAATATAGATTCCATAGATAAAAACAAAAAGCGCAGAGAAACAAACCTTTGTTCAACCAAATGAGCCACGGCAATACTCTGTTCCGCAAAAGCACCTCTTTTTACCATATATAGGATGGCCATTTTGAGCTCCGCTTGGTCGTGAAACACCATAATCGTAAGTTAACTCAGTCATGGGAGGGATGTGTGACATAGCAAAGAAGGCAACATGCAAGAAGAGTTGACCGTTGTTTTCATAACTAACCGGCTGCCAGAAAACATTAGGGGAGCAACTGTGATTCATAAATCTAGCAACGTTCCCAATATTCTTAGCACTGATTATAAGAGGCAATGGAAGTTGAGGTTCTTCAGGCATTTCCTCAGAAGCATCTTCGTCTGCTAAGCCATGCTCATAGTTCCATTTAAAAGGGTTATAAACACGGGTTGTATCAAAAGTATAATCATCATTAGACATCGTTTGCTGCACCTTCGATTTGTCTCTGGCCTCACCTGCATATACACATATAAACGCACCAGCACGAATAGGATCCCATGAGCGCAAGCCCCATCCTCTGTTCACTGTCTTGAAAACTTCCAGCCTCACTTTTACTCCCATTTGAGTCACCTTGCTCTTGCAGGTCAAGCAGGGGCATGATGGGCTGCACTCATATACCATAGGCTTGCGGCTAACTAAAATATCATTCCCAGTGTAAGGGAAATCACCTCCGTTTTTCCTTATGCAGTGACATTCCAAGTTCCCTGGTTTGCATTTGTTGCCACAAGCGCATCCACTAGAAGGCTGCGTCAGCTGAAAAGACATGGAGTATTTAACCGTTGTGGAATAGGTGAAATAACCAGGCCCATTCTCGTTATCAACTTCATTTACAAGTGAAACAGCTATGTTTTCAACACCGGAAGTGAGATCAGGGAGAATCAGTCCTTTCCTTGTAAACGACTTAGCAGTCTTCCACTTTTGTATCTCAGTCCATGTAGCAAATGCAGGAGGTTGACCAGGAGCTCTCACTAGTTTATACTTGAAGGTGTCATGTCTAGATTTTCCTTTCTCTATCCACGCCTCTTTGATCTCATAGATCCCATCATAAACATAGATCTTAACCCTATGAGTAGCCTCTTTCAAGTTCAAGCCCCTTATAACCCTAACCGCACTATTCTTATGCAAGCTCTTCTCCAACGCAAGATTACCCCTTTCTAGCTTTTGGTCAGATGTTTCCTTATCTTTATCAGCATGACCACCCTGACCGGTATAAACCAAAACATCCGGATTACCTTTGTCGTTTTCAGTATAAGCAGAAGATACAATGCTAGTGGCGATAGGCTCTTCTTCTGTATTATCTCCCTTGATAACCAAATAGTCAATGCCAGCCATTGATGGAGAATGTAACCCAACCAAACACATCTCAAACCTGAAGAAGAATATGTCCCCAATCTCAACACCTGGAACAATACCTGGCCTCTTCTTGGTGTTTGTCCTGACGCCTCTGCTCATGCAAGTAGATCCTGCTTTCAAATCAGGGCGTTTGATGATCCCGTTAACCGCGTCCTCCGCATCCTCTAGCTGTGCAAACCTTCTTCTCAAGGCATCAAACCGCATAAGAACACTCATCACCAGCTCCCTATTACCATTGTCTCTTTCAGCCACGCTAATCCCACTCTCGAAATTCACACTAGAAAGCTGACGCTTTTTAGGGGTCTTCCTCTTCACAATTGAACCCTCAGGCTCATTTTCGCCATTGGACGTCTCAGAAGACCTAAATGGCCTCAGAGAAGTAACCAACGAAGGTTCCGTTAGATTTTGAGGCTGCTGTTGAGGTGGAATCTGAAGCTGGTGTTGAGTTTGAGGTGGAATCTGAGGCTGATGTTGAGTTTGAGGTGGAATCTGAGGCTGACGTTGAGGTGGGTTTTGAGCTTGAGAGAGATCTGGTGTTTGTCCATTCACTTGAGAGGAGCTAAACGGATAGAATGGTGAGAATCCAGGAGGAAAAGGTCCAAAAGGAGGTGCACAGACAAAAGGAGGAGCTTGATTCCCACTAGGGAAAACAGGTCTTAGAGTACGCAACGGTTTGATATCCAAGACTCTTGTCTTATCAGCGTAGCTTCCGTTCCCTTCCATAGCTGCAAAAATTAAGCTTCTTTGTACTCAAATGGTGAACCTTTTTCTACTTCTCTGTTTCTTCAGAGATTAACCTAACTAAGAAACAGCTTCTAGTATCAAAGATCGGAGATTTCCAAAACCTAGATCACATGCAATGCACAGAGAACCAATCATCGCAGTTTCAGAGAAATAAACAGTTTTTTTTTCACTCTCTGTTTTCTCCGTTTACAGATTCAAACAGAGAGAGAAACCCATAAAGCTTGAGACTTTACACAGAGAACCTGAAATTCAAGCTGAGAGGTTTCGCAATCTTCGATCTCTGATTAGGGTTTTCGAAGATTGTCGCCGTCTCCGTTCGAGTTCGTCATGTGTAGTTTACTTTGCCAGTTCATGAGTGTGACCTTAAGGTTGACCAAAAAAAAGAGAAATCTTTGTAAATTTTAATTATATAGTTTCCCCTCAACTTCTTACGTCCTTGTAAATTTGTACCAAACTTACATTTTTGATCATTTAGGTCCAAACTGGAAATCAAATCAAAATAAAATTTGGTTTGGTTGATCAGATTAATATTTCAATTACGTAGCCTATAAATTAGACGTTTATGGGTTTTGTGTGGTTATAGTCTAGAATAATTTATTTCCTTTTTAGTCACCATTATTACCATACTATCACGTACAAAACAAAATGTGACAATTTTATACTATATAGATGTGATTATTAAGATCGATATAAAACAGAAATTATTGTTTTATTCAATTTTGTATTCATATGATAAGATCAACTGAAATGAAAACACACAAAATCAAATGAAAATGAAAAGATAAAATTAATATAAGACAAAAACATTGAACACTTTAACCTCAAGAGATGAGATGTGTTCATTATTTTATTTTAATTTGCTTTAGTTACTCGATGGCACTAAACTCCTCGATCATCTTATTCTTCTTGCAACGATTGTTCATAATCGCATGGACCTTGGAACAGTTACACGGCATGAACATGCAGCCACGTGTAACCCCGTTCGTGTTCGAACCACCGAGCTTACGTGCGATCACAACCGAGTTAACCACGTCATCGGTAGGATGAAAGATGGTCAAAAGCTGGAAGCCTTTGAGGTCAGAGGAGTCAATGATTGGGTACAAGAAAGCTCTAAGAGCATGAGCACTCCTTAGCATGAGTACAGCTCCAGGAGCCATGTGTTTCTCCAAGTGCTCGATGGCTTTAACCTTTGCCTCTTTGTCCATTCCCACTAGAGCCGCCAAGAAAACTACGTCGTATTGGTCTAGCCCTTCTGTAGCGTTTAGCACGTCCGTTGTGTGAAAGATCATACGTTTTGAGAGGTCAGGATCGCGTGAGACGAGGGCTGAAGCGAGTGTGTTTGCGTGTGCATCGATGTCAAAGTTGTGGAACGTTGTGTTCGGGAGGTGAAACTTAGCCAAGACGATGGATGTGAGAGGCATTGGTCCGGAGCCAATGAAGGCAATCTTGGTGGGAACATGGCTGGAGTGTTGACTCAAGAGATCGAACTCGAGTTTGCCTAGCTTGAGGTAGTTGTTGTAGTAAGGAAAGATGTTTAAATGGTCAAGTGGGTTTTGATCTTCTTGTAATAAAGATCCCAAGATTGTGGAGAAGTGTTGCTCTAAATAACCTTCAGCTTCACCACATAGCTTGATGAGGTTTGATCTCATGTCTTTGACTTCTTCACTCATCTTTGTGACATTGATGTTTGTGTCCGTGGGTAAGCACGTGGACACGAGCTGTCCGAACAAAGTGTCGACATTTTTTGAAGGTTTCAAACTCTCAAGCTTTGAGATTTGGTCGTATAACTCGATGATCTGCTTCACAACAAGATTGTTTTTGCAAGCCATGTCGACTCTATGAGGTTGTATTTAGTAGAGATGATAAGTAATCTTTTTAAGACTTTGAAAAATATTTGTCTTGTGGCTTTAGCCCTCACAAAGGGTGGTTATTTATTGACAGTTGGAGCATTGGGTCCATCCTTTTGCTGAAATTATTTATCTATCTATATATGATTCTATTCATATACGTAATTCATAATTGGTGTGTTGTCTGCCTCGTTTATAATGATATACATAATCACTATTTAGTTCATTTATAAATAAGACAGACCATATATATATACATATATCATATTTTCATTTTCATATTGTATTTCTGCAAAATAATAGTGCGTGACTGATAATTCTAAACTATATTTAGCCTTCCCAACATGGCATGATCCACAACTTAGATTACAACATGCATACAACTCTTTCCAACTATACCGTTGCGGTCATGAATGCTTATATATATATAAGCTTGTACGGACAAGGTATCGTATACGATAGTACAAACAATGTTTACGGATAAGTCACCATGAAAATCATTCAACGTTTACGAGATAACTTATTGTAAAGTTGGTAAATGGTAATTAATTAAGGCATGTCTCAGAACACTGTTCAGACACCATGAAAATCTATCAATTGTTTAAAATATGATATGTTAAAGAAAATATTATATAGGTCGATATCATATTATATAGCGTTGAAAGTAGAACCACTCCGTCAAATAATAGATTCCGTTCACGCATGCGTGGTTGGGAACTGATGACAGAATTGGTTAGAATATATAATTCCGTTGGCATCTACTAAAACTTACCCCTTTTCACATTATAATGACTATCTGAATAAAGTAATGAAGTTGATTTGGGATTAAAAAAAAAGCAACCCAATAAGAGTTTACATTGATCTTTTACTATCAGATGATAACCACCGCTTAGTTTAGTAATATAATGTCATGACACTATACTTATCCAGTAAAACTATATTGAGTTAACGTATTCTATTGTTGATAACACTGTAGAATTACGTCAGTCTCATAGAAAAAAAAAACAACTAAACACAGGACACACCTGCAGGATGAAACGTAACGCTCAGAGTTACCTTCTCTTTTACAATTATATAATGATTGAACAATATGGTTAAAAATAAACATAATTAATTACATTGTTGGCATGGGCTATATATATCATTCAGTCATCATTACGCATAATTGGAAAAAAAAATGGAACATGGTTTAACTTTTAACACTGAATTAATCCGAACGAATTACATACAAATGATCGAAATTAAAATAAGACAAATCTATTTTGCAACTGTAATAAATTACAATGACTATTAATTTACACAAGTGCCTCTGAATGGCCAATTTGATGACCCTCTTTATGAACCTAAAAACAAAATGGGATTTTGTATCCAGACTTCTAATCAAACGTACTACAGTAAGCTACATAACTTCTTGCATGTTGAAATGAATTTCATGATTCTGATTCTCTGTTTGTTTTTGCTTTGTAGTTTAATTACACAACATAAACAATTAGTCAAAACCTCAATGATATTTGTAACTAGCAAAATCATCATTTAGTAAAAAACAAAAGAGGTCATATTGTTAATGAAACCCTGTTTTTATAGCGTTACATAATCTATTTCTTTCATGTTTTCACTCTTTCCTCAATGTTTTTAAACCTTTAAATGTGAGTATATATTAATAATTTTACTTATGTATGAAGAGAGATTTGGTTGACTAAGTAAACAACATCCATCACATATTATATATTATATGGTCCCTGATACATGAAACGTTCATTATAGCAAGCAATAACCAATACAGATTTCGAACAGCAAAAATGAATAAAATTTTAATTGCATTTATAAAATTGGGCAGGACCAATTATGTTTAAAATATAGTAGTTCATTTTTCATTCTGTGTGAAGCAAACCGCCGTAAAAGGGAATATCAGTCTGAGGCAACCAAGTGTCTCCCAAAGTGAAATTATACACTGTAAAGTTCATGGCTCCTGCCAAGTTCAATAGGCTATACCCTGGCCACTGAACCCTCTTGTTTGTATTAGCTCCCGGCCCAAAGTTGTCATATTCACCATATGAGATAGTATCTAGCCCGGTTGTACCATTCCATTCCAGCCATCCCACTGGCTGAATAGCATCACTGATGTATGATTGGATGTACACCGTCCTCGAGTAAGGCTTCCATGGCCGCCCAAGGAATGTCATGGCCGGGTTGGGGTCAGCAGCGAGGTCCGGGGCAGCTCCAATTGTACAATTGATTATGGAGATTCCGGTTTTTTGGTTTGGGTCGGTTCTTCCATGTGCTGTCACTGCATTTTTCTGGTTTGCCATCGGTTTTCGAGCATATATATTGCAGTTTTGAAATACTGCAGCTGCATTTCCGAAAATAAAATCTACAGTACCTGTAACAAAAAAATTAAAAAATTAAGTGATATATATTGTTGTGTTGGTTTGGAGTTAAAACTATATGATATATCATACCGTATATGTCACATTCACGGTAAAACTGTCTCAAAGAATGGACGTAGAGAGTATCTTGATAGCCTTCAAAACTACACCGATAAAATGTTGAACCATCAGCATTATTTCTCACGGCCACAGCCTGGTGCTTCTCCGGTCCAGCTGTGTTTCGGAATGTCACATCAACTGCAACAAACCTGTCTCCGGTCACCGCTACAAACGCCAATGAAATTAAATCACAGTTATAATTTGGTATCAAACCATTCCAAATGTATGTAAGTAAAAAAATTATGAAAATAATTTACCAAAGCTTGATGAATTATAAGTAGTCCATCCATCAATAAAACTGTGGTTTCCAGTAATGATGGTTTTATTGATTCCATCTCCGATAAGCATAATGTTTCGTTTTTTATTTGAGATGACAATATATTCTTCGTAAAGACCTTCCCTTGCATAGATGACGAAGTAGCCATCCTCCGGTAATGTTTTGTTAGGTGCTGCAGCGACGGCCTCAGTTATGGTGGTGAAGTTATCGTTTGCGTATGGACCGACGATCACTGCTTCCCTTACGAGGATCGAGCCACCACTCGTTTCCCCTAGCTCACCTAAACTCCTATCATGCCTACACTCCTTGCTCTTGTCGCATGTTTTGCGTAAAACCTACATAATAATTACTTTATCATTAGTTTTTGCTTAAAATAATACTAACATTATGCACATTTTCATACAACAACTATCGTGTTCATGCTTATAAAAGTAATTATGAACATGATAAAAGTTATGTACATAGGGGAATCCATGTGAGGGTATTGATTGGTCCGGGAAGATCATGTGGACCCATGTGATTGTATTCGCATATCTTTCGTTGTTTGCTATCGTGTTGAGTTTCAAATAATTAATGTTTGTAGTTTTAAAATTTAAAGTCAAAACTCAAACGCCTTTCCATATGTTCACACAGTTTTGTTGACTTTTATACTATATATACCTGGCCATGTGCCACTATTGGGTGTCTTGTCAGTTGTGTACGTACACTCAAAACGAAAATTATGCATGTTTTAGTACATAAGATTAAATATATAATTATAAAACTAATGGTCTGATAAGTTTACATCCTTCAGGATTTGATAAACTACTCACATTTGTTGTTAAAAAAACTACTCACAATTAAGTTAGGCTGTAAAAAAGTTAATCCATCATCTTTTTGAAGAGCCATATGAAACCAACTAAAAGTTTTTTAAAAATAATGTTTTTAATTCATTACATCTTACCATGCATCTTATATATCATTTCCTTATTTAGGCAAAATTATATTACATTATATTTCATATTAAAAACTGTTCAACTTATATATATGATTTATCAAATTGTCTATGTTTTGAAAATTTCCTGGTGTTTTAAGAATATGAATGTCTATGATTTAATTATCACATTTGTCTAAGTATAATTTAATAACTATTTTTACATTCTTAGTTATTCATAAAAATTCAATATGATTAACGTTCTTGAAGAATATTAAAATACCTATGCTACTTTATCTAATAATTTCTTAACATATCTAAACATTCCAATCTGACATAATAGATACTCATTAATCTATTCTTTAGGCTATTTTGGTCGTATCTAATTTTAAAAACACATAACAATAACAGTTTATTTAGAAACCTACAAAAACTAAATTACCTTAATCAATGTCTCGAGCGGTTCACGAATAGCTTTGCTACCACCACCAAAGATCTTCCCCTTGGATCCTTTATACCTCTTCAGATTACGAGTAAGCGCGTTACTCACAAGCCCCAACGATACACTGTATAGCTGCGTGACATTCCCCAACGGCGATCCAAGAACCGTCGCAAACGCGCTATTAGCGTCCTCAAGACCGTCGAGACACGTCTGCTGGTTGGTCACAACGCCGCCAAGAAGACTCGACACACGATCAACAAGAGCCTCCGTCATCAGCTCCGCTTCTTTCAGCTCATCCGTAACCGTTTCGAGGTATTCAACGCTAAGCGCCGCCAGGTCACCGCAGTCAGCAACTGCACTGACCTCTTCCGGTGTGGACGCGCGGGGATCTTTCTCCACGCGCTGTGCAAAGCGGTTGATGACTTTGGAAAGGCGACGCGCTTGTTTGAGGCATTGTTTGAGTGTGAACTTTCCGTAACGGTATGGATCGGAGGGTGAGGATTTGAAGGCGGAGAGGATTGTGCGGCAGAGTTTCGGGTAAGGAGTGGATTTACAAGCTATGCTTGCTTCTGAGGGAGTCAACGCTGGAGGCTTTGACGGTGGATGTGATGAAGGCTTTGACGGTGGCTGTGAAGGTGGTTGTGTTGGAGGCTGTGATGGTGGTTGTGATGGAGACTGTGTTGGTGGCTTTGATGTAGGCTGTGATGGTGGTTGTGATGGAGACTGTGTTGGTGTCTTTGATGTAGGCTGTGATGGTGGTTGTGATGGAGGCTGTTTTGGTGGCTGTGAAGGAGGCTGTGTCGGAGGCTGTGTTGAGGAGATTAGAAAAGCACATGATAGGCAGAGAAGAGTGAGGAACAATAGAGATGAAGAGAAGTGTTGTGTTTGCATTGTTTTAGTTTTTGAGTTTTGTTTCTTTCTTCTTGATGATGTCTTGTAATTAAGAGGTTGTCCTATTTAAAGTATGCATGGTATGCATGGTGTAGAGAGAGAGACGCTAATGAATAATGTAATGCATGTTGCTTTGTTTTAGGAATTATTAGACCGAGGAAAATTATGCAAAACTTTTATGAAAGTATGTGGACACGTATATGTCATTTCATTTGCTCAGAAATTGAACTTTCTAGATTTCAATAGATGCTCTTCTGAATAAGTTACCGTAAGATCCAATGGAGTGCAACAGATTGTCGGGTCGTACATTTGACCAAAATATATGAATATTAGTCGTATATGATATGGTTCAAATATCGAAATAGGATGGTGGGTTACTGGTTGTTATTATATGAGCTAGAGTATAACCTACGTTCATATCAACTTTTAGAGCGAGTTTTTCAAAAAGCAGAGTTTTAGGGAAGTTAAATTTTATTATATGAGCTAGAGTATATACATATCGACGCTGTTGCGCACACAGAGACATGTGCAATTAGGGCTGGCATAGCCATGGTACCTATATTTCACTTACATTGTTTTCTTGATCATATATTTTTTACACGATATACACCCTGATTAAAATTCTCTTTTTTGTTTCAAAATTTAAAATTCAATATACTCAATTATACTTCTGACAATTAGACCTCAAATTTTCTTACATTTTTGAATATAGACGCCAATAATGTGTTTTACTATAGAAAACATTGGAACTATATATCACATGCATGTCGACAAAGCATAATAGGAAAAAAAATCATCATTGAGAGAATATACGTTTCAAAAATTCTCTTGGAAATAAACTAACGAAATTAAAACAAGAAGTAATGTCTATAAATTCATAAAGCAAATACATAATGATTAATTAGAATGAAGTTAAAATGAGTACATGTGAGGTGTTGCGGAACTTCAGGGGGAAGGAAAGACTCGTTTATAATAAGTTTTTGAAATCTTCTATCATCACCTTATTTGTTACACTTACAAGTTAGACCCCAAAGTAGTTAACTCTTTTTAAACCAAAGATTTGATTTCTGTATAATAAAACACACGTGAATAGTCAAACTACAACACCTAAAAGAGATGATTTTTTTTCTAAGAGATCAAACTGGCATCACCTATATATTATGGATTTACAATCAATCATGCAAAAATACTGAATATCTTTATAATAATATATAAAGAATATAATGTAAGAAATAATTCATATTATTACCAATATACAACATTTCTTAGTTGTCAAATTTGTTAAGCAAACCAAACAGCTGGATTTGTATTGTTCTGTGTTGCCATGGTTGATACAAACCGAAAGACTTGCCGAGTTTTTGGTTTGGTCAAATCAATATCACTATTGTCAACCTTTTCCACAACACATTATAAAATAAAAGCTAGTCCAAAGGTTTGCTTGTGGCAATAGCGTAATAACCTGTAGAAAGTAACGTATTTGATTATGTTCTTGTTCTAAACCCCAATCTTAATCAAAATAACCGATAAAACCAATCCAAAATTGCATAGCCAAACCTAGCAGCTTTTGGTTATATTCTATCCAGTTCACAAATTTACGAATTCTTAAACCAAATAAACCAAAAGGTAGCATAATGAAGACGAACAAAACCAAACAATTTTCTACAGGTCTTATCACAAACTCTGATACTTTCTTTTTCTTTTCCAAAAAGCAGGCAACAAAAGAGATGTGGATGAATGAATATTACAAAAACACAAAGAGGTGCATCCTGTTCCAGGTAAATTGTCCAGATCAAGCCTGTTGAGTTTCCACAACAGAGACAGGCTCTGGTGCACGCCCATGAACCCTGAACCGGTAGATGCAAGTGTGGGAGTCGCTTCCGTGGTTGGATGTAAAGTCTAGCCTGATAGTATCGACCAGACCAGAGTCTGATGAGTCTAAGACGTTGAATGTCTGTGCGTTCGACCTGTCTAGGTCGTAAGTAAACTCTGTTAGAAGTTGCATCTTCTCTGTCTCTTCAGAGGATTCCTGTCCTTGCAGCCATCCTGATACGACACAATCTTTTGGAGCACTCGATCTATCGTAAGCCACGCTCTGTTCAATTTCACAATGCAATGAATCCATCAGGTCAGTGTATATACTCATCCAAAACATGATCAGAGGTTGACTTTCAAGCAGTGCAAACAGTAAGTAACGCAAGAAAAATCAGGCAACAAGTCCCAAAGAAACTCCTAGAGGTAGTAAGTGACACACATATATTTAACATTCATTCAAAACAAAACAAAAAGTGACTCACATAGAACTAGAGAAGTATGATGGAAACCTACTAGCCCACTACAGTGCATATCTTTAACCTTAACCAAATCACAAGGCATAGCCATCTACCAGGCATCTCAATATCAATCAATTTTACACAAAAACTTCTCTGCATGTGAGCTAACATCTTTTTAGAATGCAAGTACCAAAGGTCTTACGAGCACACAGGAAAAATACTTATACAGAAGTTACAAATCTTTTGACAATGCAAGTGGCATTACCTTAGCTACATGCTCCAAAGTGAAAGCCTCAGGTACAATCGGTCCTCTCAGCCTAATCTGAACAAACCCACTACTCCCTTTCAAAGCAAAACACTGACCAGGCTCCCCAAAACTCGGAGACAACATCTTAACCGCATTGGAATGAGCACGTCTACTCGTTGTCGCAAACCAACTACTCCCTTTCCCAACAAGATACGGATCAGAATGCTTCATCACAAACCCACCACCAGACGCCAACGCATAATCAACTCTCCCAAGTCCATCAGCAGCATGCTTCTCAATCTCTCTCTCCATCATATCCCTCGCATAAGCCCTCATCTCATCGATACTAACCTCACTAAACAAAGAATCATCAACATTATTACCTTTCTTTAACTCCTCGTAAACCTTCTCAAACTCATCTCTCAACACAAAAGGTTTAGCATTTACTTCTTTCACTGACTTCTCTAGTAACTCCGTCTTACTCTCTATCTTCCTCAACTCATTATAAAAGGAAGAACCTTTCGTCTCGAGCTCTTGCCTTATTACTTTGGCTTCCTTTTCGATCTTTTTATCGAGTAACTCGACTTGAACCTGCATCGTACTCGTCGTGGCCTTCACAAGCCCGTCCACTTCCGCGATCCGACTCTCTAAACCCGAAAACGCCATCTCCGTTTCAAACAAAGACGTCGGAGATGATGATGACGACGAAGAAGAAGAAGGAGAAAGCAACTTCCTCGTCATCTGAATCAATCCAGCGATGATCAGAAGAGCAACAAGTTGCTTCGCGAAGACTCTCACCACTCTCTTCCATCTCGCTTTCTCGGATTTAGGTGTGGCTGTTACCTTACGTGTACGACGCTGCGTGGAGGTTGTTGTGTTTGTTCCGTTCGCGGTGGAAGCAGCGACCCTACGCGTTATAGGACCCAAGTCTTGGCCTTTGGTTCGATCTATAACTGTCTCGGCGAGGTTTGGATCTTTGGTTGATTCGCCGTTGGCGAGAGATTCGCTTTGAGGGAAATCGAATTTCTTGTCTCCGGTGACGATCGGAGTTCGCTTGGAGGGAGTCGCCGTGAGAGACATCGTTGATGCCGACATTTTGATTGGGGATTGATTATACAATCGAAAGCAAATGCGTTGACACAATGTCGAAATCGAAAACCCTAATTTCACTAAAAGGAATCGAAAAATTGATTTGAAATTGAGGAAGAAGACAATTTCAAAAAACCACCGTCTTCTCTGTTTGGGCAACTCCTCTTCACGTCGGTTCTTTTATTATTTTATTATATATATATATATTTTTTAAAATCTGCATCGCGTCAAACATAACCGCCACGTAGCGGTTAGCTGGTTAACTAATCATTTAATAGGTCTTAAATATGTAATTACCCATTTCTTTGTGGTGAATCATCATAGGATTAGTTAAGAAGTTGCAAAAGAAGACCAATACATAAAGCTTACAATGTCGTTAATATCAGTGAAACATATTATCATTCAAGACGAACCAGAACAAAACTCGAGTTAAGACCTTCGATTTGCTGAACCGGAGTCACGCATCTCCCAGGATGGTTTACTCTCTCTAGAGACATCGGACTTGATAGCTTTAACCAATGGCTTCATCACTAGCAGGTACTGCAGCATTTCAAACCATCAAAACATAGTCTTTAGCTTACAGTTTGTTCTGAGTAACTACAGGTTTAAACTGTGTTGTTACAGAGTGGTTTAGACACTTACTTGGAATGCAAAGATTAAAGGAATAAGTCGTTTTCCTCTTGCGTTTGGGTTTGGCCCTTCCACCAGTTTCTTGTCAACGTGGATAGACTTGTTGCCGTTAAAGGAGATCTCTGTGATTGTCTTGTAAAGATTTGGGATCCAACTAGTTCCATCGGGAAGAATCTGTCACAGGTTTGATAAAAGAACAAGTTACAGGCAGTAGATATAACATAGGAGAAATAAACTAATCAAACTCACCTTTTCATCACTATCATTCTTATGACATCTTCCGCTGTTTTCAACCAGAATGACAGGAATAGATGAATCCTAGGTAACAAAACATTCAGAGGTTAAAAAGGGGATCTAGTAACATGAGTATTACCAAATTAGTTATGAAAGAAGGAGCCTGCAATACCTGAATATCCTGTTTCTTGAGTTGAGCGCTAGCACGGATCAGTTTCAGAAGAGCATCGGATCTTCTGGAGACGAAGAGATCATAATTTAACCCGTCCGGTGGAGAGAACTGAGCATGACTGAGGACAAGAGCAGACTTCCTCCATATCTCTTTACCAAATGCATCCGTTATAGCCGTGACCACCTGCTTATCCAAGTCATCCACACGGTATACATCCAAACGGTCTACGTATAGCAGCACATCAATAGTCTTGTTAAGGAGAAATCTGTTCAAGAACAATCAAAACTGTTAACGATGATTAAACATATGAGTCCCAAATTAGGAGAAGAGAGTCAAACATACCCTTTGATAAGGTTGACGGCTTGATCATTAACATATCCACCCTCAATAAGACCAGGAGTGTCGATGATATTTAACGTAAACCCCGACCTTGAGCGAGAGACCAAGGAAGGTCTCAGTCCTTCAGACTGCAAAGAGGGAAACCAACACACTTTTTACATAAATAAAAGATACAGAAAACTTAAACAAACAGTCCTGAAGAAAGCATTGAGAAGAAGAGCATAGGACACCTGGAAAGTACTAACTGCAGCAGCTTTTTCGCCTGTAACTGAATTCACAGTAGATGACTTTCCAACACCGCCTTTCCCCATTACAAGTACTGTTAGCGAGCTCACATCCTACATTTTCCACATTAGAAACTAAAAAAAAGCAGAGATACATGAAACCATAAGCAAGAAGAAAGCGGTAGAAAATGAGAATGGAACCTCTTCTTTGAACTTGCCAAGGATCTCGAGCAACTTAGATTGAGTAGCAGGTGGGAACTGCTGAATACCGATCCATTCACGAGACATTTGCAGAGCTGCCATGAGCACAGTCCTACACTTTGACGAGAGCAAAAAAAGTATCACCAAAGGGAAGACATAATAATCAGGAGAACAAAGAGCAGAACTAACTGAATCTAAATAATCAAAAGTTTTCTGAATCAATCCTATTACTTTTTCTATCAAGTGAAATCTCTAAAAACCATAAAGTCGACAACTTTTTTTTTACTAACAAAATACAAAGCCTTCACTTTGATTAGTCCTTTGTCCAAATCAGTGTTCTTCTGGATCTTTTACAGAAATATAAATCTCATGGCGTTAGTGGTCATAACAAACTAATAACTTAAGCACTGATTAATTTTCACTAATCGAGAACTGATAAATTCCTGAACTGTATCAAATGAGCATACTTTCTAAGTGAAAACTGGAGATAGCGACGCATAGAAAACAAAGAGAAGAGACGAAAGAGAGAGAGAGTTAACCTTCCGGAGCTTGAGATAATTTCGTTGCTGACTTGGAACCAAATCAAAAACCCTAGAAATGAATTCGACCTTTGAAGATGATTGATTGCTACAGTCGGAGTTACCAACATTCCTTTCAGGTGCTAAACCGGGGCTTAACCGAACGTCGGTCTTCAAAGGATTAAATGGGCTAAAATGAAGCCCAATAAGGAAGTGAAACGGCCCAAAATACTTGTAGTCCTCCGTTTACGGATCTTCATCACTAGATTTAATCGAAACTCCTCTGTTACTCAGCGAGCTTCTGAGGAACTAGCGATTCGTCATCCATCGCCGTTGATCAGTCTCCGGTATCGTCTTCTTCTCTCACTCTTCGCCTTCGTTTATGCTAATGTTTACGGATCTCCTTTGTATGAATGCTCTCTCTCTACCTTCACTTCCGTGCAAGTTTTTTTTCTGGATCTACATTCTATGAAATTTCTCGCTCTGTAAATTTCTCCCGGAAGGCTTAGCGATCTTGTTTGTTAGTGTTTCGTGAACATTGCCTGCGTTTGATGATTTCGATCCTACAGTTTATGTGCCTATGATAGCTCGTAGATCTGATCTATTGGATCCGACGGATCTGCTGAACTGTTTTGGATATTCGTTTGTTTATATGTATTCGTCAGCTACCAGATGCTAGATCTCGTCACTTTTACGCTCGATTTATGATTCCGAAGATCAAATCTCAGTTTGTTCCTTGGTTGATCATTATCTGGATATACTTAACCGTTTTTGTTCTTTGTATCTCAGATTCAAATCTTTGTTCTTATAGCTGCTGACTGTTGGAACCTGAAACGCAAATCAAAATGGTATTGAGTTTCTCTTTATGATTTTGTTAATATAATTTTGTTGTTAAGTTCAGTGTTTTATGAGTTTTTTAGTCTTTTCTAACGTTTGTAACCTGTGGTTTATAATTAGGTCGTGCTTGCTTCTTCCATCGTGAGCAAGTCTGGAAAAGGTGAAAACTCTTCTTGTATTACATATAAATACGTGTGCCTTGATAATCAAAGATCCTTTTGTTTCTTATTCTTATTGTTTTCCCTGACTTTTTGTTCTTTTTTTTGTAGTGCTTGTTTCCAGACAATATGTGGATATGTCACGTATCAGAATTGAAGGTCTCCTTGCAGCTTTTCCTAAGCTTGTTGGCATGGGAAAGCAGCATACCTATATCGAGACGGATAATGTGCGATACGTATATCAGCCTATTGAGGCTCTCTTCCTGCTTCTTGTTACAACTAAGCAGAGCAACATTCTAGAAGATCTTGACACCCTCAGGATGCTCTCCAAACTTGTATGCTTCTTTTACTTTTAATTCGGCCACTTTATTTGAGGAGTTTATTTACTTGAGTATGCATGTGTATTGGCGTTTATTTATTGTGTAAGTGAGCTCTGCTAGAACCATATCTTTATTTAGGCATGGCAGATCATTGTCAACTTTACTTTCTATATGTGGGAGAGACGAAATTTACATTGCACAAGAATTCCCTACAGACGAGTCTTGGCGTGCCTTTTGATCAATTTATTATCGCTTGACTCTTTGTAGGTACCTGAGTATTCCATGTCTTTAGATGAAGAAGGGATTGGCAAGGCTGCGTTTGAGCTGATATTTGCTTTTGATGAAGTCATTTCTCTTGGGCACAAGGAAAGTGTGACTGTTGCACAAGTGAAGCAGTATTGTGAAATGGAAAGTCACGAGGAGAAGTTGCATAAACTGGTAATGCAGAGCAAGATCAATGACACCAAAGACGTGATGAAGCGTAAGGCTAATGAGATTGACAAAAGCAAGGTACATGACTTGAGCGCTCCCTGCTTCTTGTGTTATATTTGTAACTCCTATTAAATATTTCATATGCAATTCCCAGATTGAAAAGACTAGAGGTGATAAGACAGCATATTCGTCTATGAGTTCACTGGGTGGCAGACTTGATAGTAGTTTCAGTGACTTAAGCATATCTCATGGTCCTGGCGTTGGTTTCGGAGGTCCTTCGTTTGGCATGCTTTCAGATGTTGAGCCTATCAATAACAAGGCGAAAGGTTAGTGTGCTTAAACCAGTGCTTCGCAGCTGAAGCTTTAATCTTACAGTTTCTTTAATAGGAACGCACCAATTCCATCTGCGGTTTGTTCAGCGTCTTTATTTCCTGATGTACTTTATCTATACACCAAAATCTATCTGCTGTGTAATAATATTTTTCACTGTGCTTAACCTTACAGATCGATCAAGGTCTTCCGTTACTGCTGCTCCTAAGAGTTCTGGCATGAAACTTGGCAAGTCGGGAAAGAACCAGTTAATGGAGTCCCTTAAAGCCGAAGGTGAAGACATCATTGAAGATGTTAAGCCTACTGGCCAAACCAGAGCAGCTGTCGCAGCTCCAACTGATCCTTTCACATTGACTGTTGAAGAGAAGCTCAATGTGGCATTGAGACGAGATGGTGGAATCAGTAGCTTTGACATGCAGGGAACTCTGTCTCTTCAAATTCTTAACCAAGAAGATGGGTTTGTGCAAGTTCAGGTATTCCACCTTCCTTTAACTATTTTCAAGAGTCTCCCAGGGCCTTATACAGTTTTTCAGTATTTCACTTTCTGTATTACGTATTTTTGGTTTAATGTAATTTTCAATCTTCTAATTTGTATTCAGGTTGAAACCGGTGGCAATCCTGAAATTCTTTTCAAGACACATCCCAACATCAACAGGGAACTCTTTAATAGCGAGAGTATTCTTGGGCTGAAGAGACCTGATCAGCCATTTCCCACTGGTCAAGGTGGAGATGGTGTTGGTCTTCTGAGGTGGAGAATGCAAAGAGCAGACGAGTCGATGGTGCCACTAACAAGTAAGACTTTGCAGATCAACTTTTGTCTGTTTTTGACAGGTTTTACATGTAAATGTTTGATCCATTCATCATGGAATCATTTGTCTGGTGCAGTCAACTGCTGGCCTTCTGTCTCTGGAAACGAGACATATGTGAGCATCGAGTATGAAGCCTCGTCCATGTTTGATCTGACTAATGTTATCATCTCCGTACCTCTTCCTGCTCTGAGAGATGCACCAATCGTTAAACAATGTGATGGGGACTGGAGGTATGAAAATTGATGGACTTTAGTTTTTTATCTCTGGTCATCTCTTTTCTTCTTGAAACACTATAGTTGTTTTATCCAATCGCAACCTTACCATTGTGAATAATATCAGGTACGACTCAAGAAATTCAGTTGTGGAATGGTCTATACTTCTCATCGACAACTCAAACCGCAGGTAAGTAATGACAACATCTGTTTATTTATAGTAGATCTTAAGATAGTAAATATAATACATGAAAAATCATGTGCAGTGGGTCAATGGAGTTTGTTGTGCCACCAGTTGATTCATCTGTGTTCTTCCCCATCTCTGTTCAGTTTGCAGCCACCACTACATACAGTGGCTTGAAGGTATGAGACTCTTGAGAATTTCTAAATAGTCCATCTGCGAATTAAAACCTTAGAGAGGCTCATTCCTGTTGGATTATAACATATTAATGAGAGGTGTGTTCATAACGGTGGTGCAGGTGAATGGAATGATTCCTCTCAGAGGTGGTGGTGGTGCGACTCCAAAGTTTGTGCAGAGGACGCAGCTGATAACACAGAATTACCAAGTCGTATGAGGATGCTCTTCGAGTTTCTCCGTTTGAAACCGCTTATTACTTCTCCTCTACTATCTGGTCTGAGAATAAAATCTTAGTTTTCTGGGATTCTACTAGTTTTCTTCATCGGATTTACTTTTAAGACACTACTACATATTCTTATCATTGTTTCTTTCTTGACTTGTTTGCCTTTGTCACCGCAATGTACTCATTTGATGAGCCTTTTACTTTTAGGGGTGTATGTGTGGATCATAATTTTGTTATTATCATTCTTGCATGCCAAGTTATCTAACTAAATTGGTAATTATCATATTCACGGACACACTTTTATTTAAAACACTTTTACTTAAACTCTGATACGTGATGTAGTGGAGATATTCACGTTTACACCATTGTGTAGGAATCAGATATTGGCATCTTGATATATGCAGCAGATTCTATCAACAAGTCGAATGATGAGAACGAGTAGGGCGGGAGAACGAAGGTCAGGTCCCCCTCCTCGGGCATCACCAGCAAGCTTTCTTGTGGCACAATCTTCAGGAAACGAATGAGAAGAAAAGAAAAAAAAAACTGGTTTAGTTATTAAACGTTGTTCAACAATAAGACGAAGGAGAACTAAGTCATACATCCAGCCTTACCATCTCTGGGTTAGAGAAGGAGTTCTCATCCATCACATTGGGAGATGTAAGTACTTTCTTCTTTGTTACAGATACTTTTGTTTCGCTCGAGTTCAATCCTGTCATCTTTACCTCCAGATTCACTGTTATGTTTTCAAAGTTAACAGCCTACAAAATATATAAGATCAACCATTAAATTCATTTTTCGTCAGAAGCAGAACTCATATCTTATCACTTGAAAAGCAACGCAAAAACCTTAATCTGTATGTACTCTAAGCCATTGGTTGTGAAAGATATGGCAGATGCTTCAACATAATAAGAAGAGTTTCCCTTGAGAGTAGAGCTGAGAAGAGTTGATCCACTTGACTCTGTGAAAAACTGTTGGACCCAATAGCTTGGTGTTCCATACATATGAGAGGAGTTGAAAACTATTGCATCTGGCATCCACCTTAAAAAAAAATTAATATGATTTTCTGACTTAACCATTCATTCTTAAGGTAAAACCAAAATGTTAACTAACGCGAGAAAATACATACCTTCTTGTGTCATTTATGTTAACGAAGAGAGGTGCATAACTTACCATTCCTACAACGTCACTGCAAAAAAAAAAAGGCAGTAAATGTAAGAAACTTTTGTTCTGTGGTTGTCCAAAGAATGAGAAAAAGTTGTGTAAGAAAAAAAACCTGTTCTTTTCCAAACCAAGGAGGAAACCTGCTTCACCAAGAGCTGCTAAAAGGTTTCCATTATTTGCATCTGTTCTGTTCACAGCGTATTCACTAACAAAAGCCTGTGCTCCACAAAAAAGCTTCATCATTAAAAGAAAAGGTTTTGTTATGTTAAAATATGAAGTCTTTTCTAATCACCTTTGGACCATCACGTGATGTATTATCAAACATATGGGACATGGAAAACAATTCCTCGGCAAGAGTATAAACCTGGAACAAAAGGAAAACGCATAAACACAGTTTGATTACAAGCATAAACGTTTTTTTTGTATGTTTTTTTACGTGATAATCATAGTAATCAGCAGGGTGATCAAGTGGTTGAGACGATCCATCGCAGTTGGAGATGATTTTAATGTCTGGATAAACTTTCTTGATAGCATTATAGAACACAAGGTAGTTTCCTGAAAGAACAAGGTTGTGTGTATCTAAATTTAGTATATGATCAAAAAGGTTCTTTAATCTTCATTAGGTAGAACAAGGTTAAATAAAACCTTTGTAGTATGTGTATTTCTCCCAACAATCTTCATTCCCGACCGCAACATATTTAAGGTTAAAAGGCTCTGGATGTCCCATTGCAGCTCTAACTGATCCCCATGTAGAATTAGCATCACCACGAGCAAACTCAATACCATCTAACGCTTCCTGAAAACCAAACAAAACAGAGAGTGATCACACCACTATCATTTTATTTAACTGAAGCAGAGAGAGTTTCATTTAAAATACTTGAACAAATGGCATGATACTTGCTGTTTCAACGTGATCATTGTGACTTATTCCTGCAAAAGTTTCAAAGAGTTTAATACATGTTGTAGTGAAAGAAAACAAAGTGTCACTTAAGAATATACCATTGTTAAACACCCATATTGGTTCAGCACCGAGATCTTCAGCTAGCTGCAAGAATAGTTAAGGGGAATGATTCAACACTTACACATGGTTACAGATTCAGTGATACATAAGTAGTAAGAATCTTTTTTTTTTTACTTGAAAGAACTCAAAGTGGCCAAGACCATCATCAGTCCAGTACTTCCAAACATCACCAAAGTGGCCAGGTCTCTCTTCCCAAGCTCCCACGGTTTCTTTCCAGCGGACTGCGTTGCTTAACCAATCACCCTCCACAAAACAACCACCTAACTCACACAAAAATAAGTATTTTATAGCTTAATTTATATATTTTGCTCGTTAGAGATTTTACCAGGGAAACGGATGAAACGAGGTTTTAGATCAACCATCATTTGGAAAAGATCATTTCTAAAACCATGTCCCTGTAATCAAACCAAAATATGCATTATTATCTTGATTTACTCTAGGTTGTTTCTCAAAGAAGTAAACAAAACCTTATAAGTATCCATAGGCATGGCTGAGACTTGATCAAACCAGATTGAACCATTTTTGGTGGTTGTCAGCTGAAGTCTTGCACCATCATCTGTTCCATTTGCCTCCAAAATCATTTCCTTCTTTGTCCAGTTTGAAACCTCAGAAGCCAAAGCTCTACAAGAAGTCAAATGATAAACAAACCAGCCTTGGAAAAATAACTATTGGAAGAAAACTTTGAAAGTTTCTCTATTACATAATCTTTTCTGAAGCAAGAGTTAGTGATCCATTTGAGCTTGTCAAAGACACAGACACATCGATGTCACTAGTGGAACGCACATAAAGGGTTACCTTGTATTTCTTTCCTTCTTCAATGTTCTGCAAAAAAAAAAAGTGATTAGAACATTTATTTTGATCATTAGAGGCAATAGTAAACAGAGAGTATACAAAATGTACCATGCCCCAGTAACCCGGGTTATAAACCCCGACTCCTTCTGATGGACAGCCATTGCTGTTACAAAGCACTTCGAGTTTAAGTGCAATTTTGTTGCGCTCAAAACATGAAGAGCGGTCTGTAACTACAAATATGGATGATTCATCTCCAATAATGGACCAAGGGGAGATATTAGAAGGAATGTTTTGTCCACCAGCTTCAAATCCTGGAGCAAGAGATTTAACAAAGAGTTAAGTTTGTTATTATTATCACCATTTATTTTACATGAAAACTCTTACAAAAAAAATAAAATCCAAACAAAAACCTCTGTTGCTAACAAGTTCAGCCCATAGTCCACCTGCTCCAGCATGATTGATCTCCTGTCAATAATAGCATTAGATTCAGTTCTTTTTCAAGAGCTAAGTTGAAACTTTTAAACATCAAAACATGTAAAAGTTTGGTGTCAACACAAAAAGCTAGAGAAGTCTTGTGTTAAACCTCAAAGAAGATCCCAAAAAGGGTTTCAGGAATTGAGTGTCCTGTGGCGTTAGAAGCATCTACTTCCAGTGTCACATAATGTTTTTCGGGGTCTTCTTGAGCATTAACAAGACAAACGCTCTCGTAAGCAGAACAATAGCCAAGGAGAATTGATATTATGCAAACACTTGTCAGAAACTTCCAAGAACACCTCATGTCCATCATCACCAAATCTGATTAAAGAAAAGATATTACAGAGTTAACTTATATAAAAAAAAGAAAAACATTAGTTATGTCTAATCACATAAAACTTGTGATCAAACACAAGATAATCAAAAACTTAGATAATAATTACTATTATAGTAAGTAAAGCATTGTATACAAAGCAAAACTTGATAACTTTCAAGATTTCATACAATTACTGCAAGGTTAAGAGAGCCGAGTAACGGTTACAGAAAGAAAAAAAATCAAGATCAAGAGAAGAAGAACACAAAAGACTCACTATGCAAGAAACTAAGTTCAAACGTGGAATGAACTAAACATGGTACCGTTTATTGAAGAAAGACACCAAATGTATATAAGAAAGTGAGAGATCAAAAGAGGTAAAACAAGGATTATAAGTAATCATTCGATGTGTTTGTCTTCTTACTTTACTTTATAGTCGATTTATGCGTTCACGTCTCCTTTAATTTCCTTATTTTCATGCAAATGTATATAAGTTAGTTAAAGTTAGTGAGGTGGAGATCCTCATCCATTCTGAGGTCTTTTCTCCTTTTTAGATTAATTGAATTCCTTTTAAAATATTTCATATTTTTGTTTAATTCGTATTGAACAGTTTTTTCCCATAAACAGAGTGAAAAAAGCATAGGATCCTAGCTCAGAATGATGTGGGTATTTTGTTTTCTTTTCCAAAATGTATATGTGGTTATTAAGTCATTCTTGTAAATCAATCAAGTTCAAGGAATGGCCTTAATTAAAGATATTATACACTAACAATCAAGATTAGCCGCTGCTGGTGATCAATCAAGTTATATAGAGTTTATACTCTAAAAATCAATATGAATATGAAGCCAAGAAAATTGATTTACGGCCACATAAGATTCAATATGAGGTGGATTTAATAATGTTCACATAAATAGAGACATCAAAATAAATTGTTAATTTTTCTTTATCTTTAATTGTTTCATCCTAAATTTATTTATTTATTTTCCGAAGATCTTGGAAATTATTAGAGGACTAAAAATATTGTTAGAGAGAGAGACCAAACAAAACTGCACACGTTTGATTTGCAATGGATTTTGATTATTGAGGAAAGAACAAAAAGAAAGAGAGATTAAAAAAAGTCAGAAAAAAAAAAAACTGAAAAACCATATTTTATTTCTTTTATTTGGTTAATTCCAAATAAAACAAACTGATAATTTATGAAAACTAAGTTAAAATATTAGAAATCCTGGAGAAAAAAATTGTTTCTTTTTCTTGAAAGATAGGCTTCATGTGTTGGTTTTTGAGACAATGCAGAGGGAGAGAATGAGCAAAAAGAATAGTAGTCAGGTTCATTGTCTTCCCTCTCCTGATCATCATCATCATCATCATATTCTCATAATGGCTTCAACTTCAAAACACATTCCTGAGATCAGATTGTACAAAGCCTGGAAGGGTAACAATGTAATAATATATTATTTACCTGAAGCCAAGATTGCATGTTTCCTTTCATTCAAATAATGATTATATGATTCTGCTTTTGTTGCACCAGAGATTTTTCTGTGGTGGGAGACTAATGTTTGGTCCTGATGTATCATCTCTGCTCCTAACCTCTTTCTTAATCGGTGCCCCTGCCCTTACATTCTGCATAAGGATGCTCGTGTGGATGCAAAAAGGCGATCCTATCTTCAACTACACCGTTCTGACTTCAGCATTTATCCTCACCCTCTTGGTTTGTATCCTCTCTTTTTAAGTTTATTTCAATAGTCTTGTTTCTTTTTATTTTTGTTGGTAAGAGAAGCTCATAGTCTTGTATCTTTGAGCAGGTTTTTACGTTTCTATTCTTGACATCAGCTAGAGATCCAGGAATCATTCCAAGGAACAAAACATCAGTGAATATTGAAGATGGTTCAGATAATTCCTTGACACAATCTATGGAATGGGTCAACAGCAAAACTCCTCATCTCAAGATACCTAGAACAAAGGATGTCTTTGTTAACGGATACACTATCAAAGTCAAGTTCTGTGAGACTTGCTTACTCTACCGTCCACCACGTGCTTCACACTGCTCCATATGTAACAACTGTGTCCAACGCTTTGATCATCATTGTCCATGGGTAGGACAATGCATTGCCCTTGTAAGTATATAACATGAAACTTCCAATATTTTTAAACTTCTGACACTTCTTGATCATATATATCCTCTCTTTTTTGGCAGAGAAACTACCCGTTCTTCATCTGCTTCATCTCAACTTCAACATTGTTATGCATATACATCTTTGTGTTCTCGTGGATCAATCTAATGAGACAGCCTGGGAGATTAGGGAGGACAATGTCTAATGATATAGTCTCTGTCATTCTTATAGTCTATTCATTTGTTTCTATTTGGTTCGTTGGTGGTCTTACCATTTTCCATGTCTATCTTATGTCTACAAATCAGGTAAAGACCTTTAGCTGTATCATTAGGAACATACTATCTAACTTATGGACTTGAGATCTTTCTTGTGTTGTGTCTGTTTTTTGCAGACAACTTATGAGAATTTTCGGTCCCGTTATGATAAGAAAGAAAACCCTTACAAGAGAGGGTTGCTGAAGAATGTTAAAGAAGTGTTGTTTGCTAAGATACCGCCTTCTCAACTAGATCTCAGAGCAATGGTCCCAGACGAAGATGATGGATCTGAGTATGAGTCAGAGAATAGCTCTTCCATCAGATATGATAATGAAATGAAAGGCAAGGTCACTAAAAGTGAGAGCCCGAAGAAGCTTCCTTTGCCTACACAGAACTTAGATAATAATGATGACTATGACAGATCTACAACAACTAGAGATGATGCTTCATAGCTTGATCCTTCTTTTTTTTCTCATCTCAACTAAGACTTACCCAAGTAAATTGCAAGGGGAAGACCTCTCTTAAATGTTGTATCATCTTTGTCTAAATTGTTAGGAACATTCTGATTAAATTTGTGTATAGAGTTACAAACTGGTTCCCAAAGGTTTGTTGTATCCAAGAATCAAGAAGGTAGATTAAATTTTTGATTTATTTAGCAAAATTCATTTCAAACAAGTTCCAAATCAAGAGTATAGAGATTATTAAAACACAAAAATGTTTAAAAATGAGATAGGCATCATCATCATCATAGTCTCCTCAAGCTCTTCTTTCTGGCGTCTACCTTCTTCTTGTCTGCCTGAACTTTGGCCAAACCTGCTTCCCTTTTCTGTGTTGTAGTAGTGACTACACTTGCACTTCCTGCAGTTGCTGCTGCTGCTACAGGAACGTTAGTCACTTGTTGATCTTGGGCACTCGTTGTTGTTACTCTCTTGATGTCTGCCATTGAAGAGGGTATTGCACTAGCAGCATCAGGTGTTTCGTTGTTTGTCTGGTCTACATTTAGAGCCGTCGTTGACTCTGAGATAGCTCCTGCTTTGAACTTAGGTTTTGGTTTAGCATGGATACCCGTATAAAGCCTGCACACAAGTCAAGAAGATTTCAACTTATAAGTTCATTTCTTGTCAAACAGAATGTTCAAAAGTTTTGACAGAATATGAGACCAACGTAGATGGACTACTCACCGAGCATGCCTAGCATATTCTTCATAATTTTCAAGTAGCATCTTTCCAGCCTGTTCGTTTAATGCAGATTCTGGAAATGGTTCGATTAGTAAGCACCTAACAACCTGTTAACATGTACAAACACACACCAAAAAAAGAAGCTCACTCTCAAGTATTAAGTAATCTGATTAAAGTAATGAAGAACAGAAGGGTCGAGCATCTTACAGAGAGGACATGTCTTAATCCAAGACTAGGGTTCCAATCTTTTTTAAGCGTGTTAACGCAAATCTCTCCGTTCGAAGCAACATTGGGATGGAATATCTTTGTCATAAAGTAGCCTACAATGGCAAACCCAAAAAAAAAAATTCAAAAACCATTAGAATAATTCTACTACACGTCTCTCTCTGGCCTAACATCTTAGTAATCTGTTCACATACCTTTAGGCGGGGAATGTGGAAAATCACGAGACAATGCCAACTTCATACGGAAAAGTCCATTCTCATAAGGTGTTCCAACTGTATGCAATCAATGTAGAAGAAAAATCTTACTTTTTTTAATCATTTCAACATAATAATCATTCAACAGGGAAATAATAATGCACCTGGTCCTTCAATATCAGCACATATTTGTGAGAAGTCCTCGTCATTGACCACAACCTTGATACCATCCGGAGGAGATTCATCAAGACTCTTGAGTTCCTTGGCGAGCTGCTTGATAACATTGGGTGGTAGATTCTCATTACTTGCCTGAGATATTCAAAGAAGACAAACCAGAACAGGTAAAGCTTCAAAGACCACTTCATAAACTTCAAAGTAAGTAGAATTCTAGTTTCTAAGCAAACAAATACATAGGGAGAGAAAGAGAAATTACCATGGAGAATAATAAGTGCAAAAGGACCCTTAGAAGACGTTCTTCTCTCCTCAAACAGGCAGACACTCCAATGTGATGAGGTCTTCAAGACTCGAACGCAATCAAACTGAGACAAACAAAAAATCACACAAAGATAAGGCTTTTAATGATTCGTTTTCATCATCAGATTTGAGTTATACATTCAGTAGTAACGTTTCCTCAATCATACAATCAGGCAATTCATTGAGTTCAGATCGATGATAGAAACAAACAAAAAAAGGCTTAAACTTTGAATCTATTAAACGGAGGGAAGACAACAATAAGTGAAATCAGATCGAAACCAATCCAAACACAGAAGAACAGAGCAATCGATTCAGGAATTCAAAGAAAACCCTAAAATGAATACAATTAGGGATCTAGCTTAATCGAATCTAGGGTTTCTAGAGAATGACTCAATTCGAGCTTAGATGTATAAGATCCGAAACAGAGAACACATCGCAACGCAAAGAGTCCATTTTTTTCAATCAAAGAAACAGAGTCGTCGAAACAGAGAGGAGAAGAAAGACGACGAATTTTTCGATCGGAAATCAAATTTACCTATGCGGAGAGTGAGAGAAAGGCGATCTCTTTTCTCTCCACAAGTAACGAACGATTCTCAAGTTGAAATCAAGAAGAGAGAGAGGAGAGAAGTTCAATTATTAAGAGGATTTATATAAGAGAGAAGAGAGACAAATGACGTTTTATTTTTAAAAAATAAAATATAGGAGCGTATCAAATGAAAAAAAGGAAAATAAAGAAAATGGAGGGTACCTTCGTAAATTTGTTGCCAGCCTGGAATTGACCGTTATGGTGTTTTCTTTTTCTCTTTCACCCGCTAAACTACTAACTAGCCGTTACTTGTGTGTCAGGTAGGTGTTCTTTAACTCTGATTTATTTCTCTCAAGCTCTTATTTATTGATATTTACAGAAAAAAAACACTTAATGATGTTATTGTATATAAGGAAAACAACCCTTAATACAGAACTCTGGTAATATTTTGGCCATTGATCAAATCTTTTTTTTGCCATCGATAAATAATAATTGATTAATATGGGTCATGATTGTCGAGATTCGTTCGAGTAAAACAATATATAGTGCGTTGGAGTTGTCGGGACACGTGATGTGAAGTATATCTGTGTGTGTGTGGATTTTATGTTACTTGACTCTAATTATTTATGTACAGGATAACCCTTTTTGATATGACAATCGGTATAACTGTGTTACTCACTTACTCTGATAAGATAAGTGAAGTGCATATTGCTGGAACATACATAATACGTAAAAATCTTCATATGTCTATCAGGGTTTGAAGGTCATATATCGGGATTGTGTGTGTTTTTTATTAAATGAAAAATTGGCCAAGTCACTTTGTTGCGATGTCTAATGACATCTCCATTTCCTTCTCTTCAATTTTGTATCTTTATTTGTATCGTTTCGAACATATCATGTTATCCGTGTTAAAAAAAAAAAAATTGGCCAAGTCACTTTTGTTGGGATGTCTAATGATATCTCCATTTTCTTCTCTTCAATTTCGTATCTTTATTTGTATTGTTTCGAACATATCATGTTATCCGTGTTAAAAAAAAAAAAATTGGCCAAGTCTAAAAAAACTGCCACCTAAAACTAAAAGAAGTATCGGAAAGCAAGAAATGTTGGTTCAAGTAATTAATACTTTCTCAACGGGCAACTTTTGTTGTTGTATTTTGAAAGATTGCAAATTTAATATGGTAGTTACGAACCGTATATTATAGATATGGCCTACCGATTCAAGCAAGTCTTCAAGATTTGTGGTTAACTAAAAAGGAAGGCAAGGATTTTCACGTGAAAGTTATTACACAAAAGAATATGTCAGATTGGCATGCAGAAGACCAGACGTCAATGAGCCCAAACACCACGGCCCAACAACAATTACGGTGATCATCTTTCAGTCTGGACTTGTTTGTTCTCTTTGGATTCAGTTTTTTTGCTATTTTTAGCTTTGCACTTTTGGTTTATCAAATTTCTCTTCATGTGATTTGTTTTCTTGGTCACATGCTTACACATTGTTTTTCCTTTAATTGAACGGAACATTAAGGTTGGTTCAGTTTCGGATCATGAAAAAACCTTACAAATTTCGTTACACAATCATATTCCTCTCTGTGTGAGAAACTAATTCTACTCATGATTTTTTTTATATACAGTTATATGATTGGGTAATATAGTTTCCATACAATCTTAGTATATATATATAAATAATAAAATGGTTCTTTTTCATGGACCCGGAAATAAAAGGTTAGTCTCTATATATCATCATCTCATACACATGTTTTTGATGTGGATGTGTACGTTGCAGCACTTGTTCGACAAAGGAGATTGGAAGGTGTTGTGTTTATTTATCTTTTGGAGTCTTCTACGATGAGAGTTATCTTATAGATTTCAATAAAAATAAAAGACAAAATCATCTGAACCTCGTGGACCCAAAATCAATTCCTATTTCATCATTTATTTCATGAAAAGACAACCTCATTTGTATAATGTGGACCAACTTTCTTAAACTCTTTAGCTACTCATTTATTGTTTTTAGAACTGGAATATTATCCATGGACATTCTTATTTATCTTTGAAAATATCTTATGTGAAAATTTGTTCGACTAGGTTAAAATATATAAAAGGCGAACAAAGTGGGTTTAACAAGTCAAAAAGCTTGCAAGAACTTTTGGTATACATCTTTCACGTGAAGCTTTTGAATTTATAAAGAAAATCTTAAAGGAATCTATTAAAGACTTGAAAGGCAATAGGTTCCATTGCCATAATTGTGGTGGATCGGGTCACGTCAAACTCGTGTTTGGATGGAGCTATATAGTAATTTGCTGCACAAACAGATGTAGTTTTTTCCTTTAGTTATAGAATTATATGAATCAGTTGCTTTTTTTTAATAACTGTAGAAATCCCAAAAAAAATCTAAATTCAAAGACTAATTCAAAATCCAAAACTTTTTTATCATTACAATGTCTACGGATGGCTAATACTATTCGATCCCAAAACAAAAACTCCAATTGAAATCATTTTATCACTAGACCAAGACGATTGGATTATAAACATTTACTTTACAAAAATGTTTAGAATCATATAATTCTACTTATAAAAAATTGATATTTTAAATTTAATCGTGTACTTTTGGTCAATCAATTTCGGAAATCCATAACTTTTTGTTCATAATTTTTTATTATTGTAATTGTGCAATTCTGAAACTTTTGTTTTTAATGCTCTCTGGTGTTCTTGTTCAACCATTGATAATTGTATAGTTGTTTTTATAACATTTTTAAAGTTTTGATAGTATTATCATCAGAACAACCTGCATCACTCCTTGATATGAATTATAGTTTATGCTATCATGTTATGTAAAACTAATATTATTTTCACAATCATTGTCATTTATTTGCATCATATTCATATATATAACTAAATAGCCAATTATACACGTTTTACGTGCAAAACGATATGTAATGCTATGTTTCTTAAACTGACGTAGGGTCTATCTAGTTTTTCCTAACTTCCAAAGCTAGTTTGGTTATAGTTAAATAATTATATTGACATACCTAAACACAAGCTTCCACTAGGTTTAGTGGCATGTAGATCCAAAATAAAGTTAGGTGTAAAACATTAAACTAATCTATATCTGTCCAAACTCCGATGAACACAATGGCATATACCATAAAGATACAAACTGTTAATTAATAGTACTGGTTTCATACTGAAGTTCTCTTCATTGGATGGTAGTAATAGAGATGCGTGAAAACACACATTAATAAACAAAAACAATTATGGATACTAATCAAATGTTTATGTTTCTGAACTTCAAATCTAGCAACTCCACTCATCTATTCAAATAAAAAATTTGGTTTCCCCTAAAGACATTTTTAGAAAAGCTATAACGGTTTTGTTCCATCCTAGACTAATCATGGTTGTAAATGTAACTGGTCTTCTTACAAAAACAATTAGGGGGTGCTTAACAAATGTTCCTTAACTGCTAATCTAGCAACTCCACTCATCTGTTCGAATGAAAAAGTTGGAGAAAAAATATATATATATATATATATATTTATTACGGTTATTTGTTTAATCCTAAATTAATCATGGTGTTATAAAATGTGACTGATTTTCTTACAAAGCCAAGATTTTGCTTTGCTTTGATTGGTTATACTCTAACTCAGATTTATTACACATGTAAGATGCTAATGCAATTGCAGACATATCATTAAGTGAATAACAACTTCCCTGATTTCCAAAATGTAAATTTGTTCTTCATAATAGTATAAAAGAGAATCATAAGACTTTTGAAGAAAGTTAACAGAAAAAGAGACTATAAAAAATGGTCAACAAGTGGTAGCCACGCGCCAAAGTAGGCGTCGGTCGAATCTAATGATGATAAAACTCTCTCTCAACGTTCAGACAAACAGAAACCAAATAAAAAAAAATATTAAAAGAATCTTCTCATGTCTCTTCAAGTCTTTGCCTCAAAATCAATAGTCTTCTCTCTATCTCTCTCCATCTCCATCTTCCTCGTTCATCATCACTTCTCAGATTGCGTTTTCCTCTCGATGCTCTCTCTCTTACCTTTTGACTTTGTAAGATGAGAGAAGAAGATTCCAACTGGTTTGCTAAATGGGAAGAAGAGCTTCCATCACCAGAAGAGCTCATACCTTTATCTCAATCCCTCATCACACCCGATCTCGCCATCGCCTTCGATCTCCTAACTCCTAACCAAAATTCAAACCAACCTCAACCTCAAACCACTCCTCCTCAAACCAACTCCTCAGCCGACTTCGCAGTAGACTCCTCCGGAGACGAGCCAGCTCGGACTCTAAAACGCCCCCGTTTAGTATGGACGCCGCAGCTCCACAAGCGTTTCGTCGACGCGGTGGCCCATCTCGGCATCAAGAACGCTGTTCCCAAAACCATCATGCAGCTCATGAGCGTCGACGGGTTAACGAGAGAGAACGTCGCTAGCCATCTTCAGAAGTACCGTCTCTACCTCAAGAGGATGCAAACCGGAGGCGGTGGAAACGTCGGCGAGTCTGATCATCTCTTTGCTAGCTCACACGTTCCTACGCATTTTCTTCACCCGACGGGTAGACAAAGCTCTGATCATTTCATTCCACCTTTTGTCCCCATCACGGCGAGTACTCACCAGCCGCCTCAGTTCCTCCACCGGCAGATGTTCACCTCTCAGGGGAATAACAAGATGGATCAGTCTTTGTTTTTGGCTAGGCAGAGTCAACAAGTTCTCACCAGACCATCTTCGTTGCATTTGCATAGCCAAGTGGCTAACTATGGAGAGGATTTGGAATCAGGAGCCAAGACGGCTTTGACTCTGTTTCCATCTCGAGAAGAATAGATTGAAACATCCACAAAAAAAAAAGAAAAAAAAATTCGAGATCTGCCTTTTGTTTGTGCAATGTAGATCCGGTTAGTACAAGAACTCTGTGACCGGATCTTTTTGGTATTAAGACATGAGTTATCTCTGTACTTTAACTATGTGTGTGTGTGTGTGTTTTTTTTTTTGCTTTTGAGTTTAGATTTGTTTCTCAAAAAGTTGTTTGTAGCTTTGCACCGAATATCATAAAAGCATTTGCAGTACTACTAAAAATCTCTTCTGTTGTGAAACTCAAGAAACTGACCATAGCCAAATCCATGTTGCATATACGTATAGAAACAAAAAAAAAGGTGTGTATCTATGTATAAAATGTTATAAAATATCTATATTTCTTGACCAAAACCATTTATTCAATAATAGTACAGTGTACAGAGAACATGAAGCAGCCAAAAAGCAAAGACTAGACAGTGCCAGGCAGAATCTGAATCACAGGATCTGATGCTCTCATATCCTTAATCATACCCTTTTTTTTATTTTAGTTGTTTTTTTTCATTTATGTACACAGTATCGGTTATGGGACCAAACCCAATCAAGAAATTTTTTTGATATTATATAATTATTCATAATCTTGGTAAAGGGAAACTATAGGTTATCTATTGGGTAGGAGGGGATCAATTAAAAGCAATGATGGTGGGTTCATTAGCTGGCATGTTCTGATCTGCTTCTATAAAAGTCATCCCCCCTATAAAAGTCCTCCTAATTATTACTTTATTTTTGGTAGAAAATTTATGAATGTCATAATAACAGAACACACTTCAATATAATTAAATTTAGAAATAGTTGAATAAAGTTTAATACTATCATTATCGGTAACGACGACTTAAGTGTCGCGTCGTCACCACAGCTCTCAGTTAAATTGAGTAAACCATAGGAACTCGAGCTACTCAACTAAAGTTTTTTTTGTTGACATTCGGCTATGAATGGGCCGGCCACTTAGAGCAACAGTTGTTGAAGGACTTGGTTAAAAAAACTCATTTCGTTTATGAGAAAAAGGGAAAGTTTCACATGCCACGAAATAGGCTCGACTTCGAGCCCATTTTAATTGGATTCAGCTGAGGCCCATTATTTTGTTTCTGTCGGTTGTTTATCTTTCTTAAAATTGATATACTAATAACTTTTTAAATATAATAATGTAATTTTCTTACCTCCAAATGATGTATTCTAATGCAAACAATGAAACATTTGTACTTAGAAAAGTAAAAGGTGATTTTTAAAAGAGCTTAGATAGTGTAGCTTAAATTTAACTACTTGCCAGTTTGGCCAATTCAGATGAAATGATGAAAAAACAAAAATCTAAAAAGTGTAATTTCTTTTTTAAGAATTATAGATTATGTTTTCTAAAGGTGATTACAAAGAGCCAATTACTGTCTGTTTATAGTCTAGCTCTTATAGTAAATATGTGTGTTTCAACAAAATCTCACATTTATTAATAAGGCAAAAACTATTAACCAAATTTTCACAAGTCCTGAATTACTTTGGAAATAAAGAAGGTTTGGAACTAATTTTGACTAACTTAAGTGCAATTAGTAATTAAGCAAATTAACCATGTAGAGTTAAAAATTTGGAAATTGTTTCATGTATATCTAGCAATTAAAAAAGTTGTCTTATGTGTTAGTAATTGTAAATTTGTAATGATAGATTTAATAGATAAATAATTGAGCTAGTCTTTGTTACATATCCTCAATATATCACTTGCCATTTACATCAATATTAATTAGATTATCGTATTCAACATCAGAAAACTTAATATATAGCTTTCCATGATCTTTAGATGACACCTTAAGTCTCAATCTTTAAATACCCATCCAGGTGCAATCCCATTAGCCTAACCACTGAAACTAAACCCACAAGAGTCTAATGGATCCGAATCATCCGATCGATGTTGATATGTTGTCCTCGGAATCAAGTTACTCTAGTGATGTTAGTGATAATGACTTTGTCGAGTTAATAGAGAAGCCCACATACAAATGCAAGTATTGTCCTAAAGAGTTCTCCAAAATACAAGCATTGGGTGGTCACCAAAATGCGCACAAAACGGAAAGACAAAACCATGCCATGTTCACGAGTATGAACCAGTCAGATCCATACCCATATATGCTTCCTAGTCGGTACACACTCCCACCAAAATTTGAACAACCATGTTACACCGTTGATGAACCGGATAATTTGAACATGGTCGACGATCAAAGTTAAAGAATCGACCAAAGTTGGGCCATTAGAGAGAACCCATACCAATCCGTCATGACTCCACCTCAACTATATTTGTCCCCAACGTCACCACCACCACCACCAGTGAATTTAGATCTTTGTCTTGGTGTTGGAGATAGCTCACAAACCCAAGCTCAACCTAAAGAACCTAACGAAGATGATGGTCTTTCACTCAAACTTTGAAGTTATAATGTTTTCTTTAAATAATATCTATTAAACTGATTGGTTATTACTAATTTATTTTCAATTTCGTCTTTTTATTATCAAAGTGACCACCTTTATTTTCCAAGACCATCCATATATTATATCAAATTCAAATTTTGTTGACTTGAAAACTATGAGAGAATTGATTATTGTCTGCATCTGTAATTACTCCTTTCATCAAATACTCTTACAACACTGGCATGGATGAGATGGGCACAAGTCGAATATATTTTGGAGGTATTCGTGATTCGATCTTTTGTCTGAATAATCAGTTATTTGATTGATCCATAGCCACCAGTGTATCCAGAAAATATTAGATTTTAATCGGATATTCAATTCAATCCGTACAAATAAAAAAAATTAAAATTAATATTTAGTAATAATATTGTATTACAAACATAAAAGATTATTTACTTTTTAAAATTCTAATAACTAAAATAATAACTTTAATAAATAAAATATCAAAATTTATATAAATACAATATTTATAGAAGTTATATACACACAATTC